GTTTAAAAAGTTAGGTTACCAATAGGGGCATTGTCTTACCCTAAACTATTAAAAATGTGTCAATGTCTTGTATTAAAAAATAGTATGTAAGAATCCTTTACCAGAGGTTAATTGTAAATTCTGTTTTTTTTCTGGGCAAATTTGTACTACGAAAAAATTCTCAGCTCAGAAAAAAAATAGAATTTACAATTAACCTCTGGTAAAAAGTTCTTACACACTATTTTTTAATACAAAACATTGACGCATTTTTGATAGTTCAGGTAAGACAATGCCCCTATTGGTAACCTAACTTTTTAAACAAACTCTACTATACAAATCAGCTATTAATTTGTTGAAATAGTCGTTTCAGCCATATCTGCGTTAGTTTTCTACAGTAAGGTTACTACTGATTGGCCGAAAATATTGATTTTTTGCTTCTTATTTTGTGGTTCTGTGTGCAGTTAAAAATAAAGCATAAGATTAAATATATAAAGAAAAATTTTACTCATTGCTGTAGATTAAAAATCAAATTAAAATCTACCAAAATTTGTTTGAATGCACTGTTATAACAACTGGAAGATTATATAAGAAACTGGAACAAGTGCGGTCAGAGAACAACAGGTTTTAAATGCATATACAACACAAGTAAAGGTAACAAACTGTAATAAAATTTTTCTTTTTTCTGCAATGTATTATCCAGATTAAGGTCATTTGTCTGGTTAAGCACAAAGAATTACTAAAAGTGCTGCATGAGGTTACTTTCTTTTGTAAGTAAAAAGTTAAAAAAAGACTAGCATATTTATAAATTTATACCAAACATTCGGCTAACGGTTACAAACGGTTAGCCTATTCATCCTGGCTTTTATTTAGAATAAAAAATAAAAATCGACTCAGTTTTAAGAGATCTTAAAGAGTTCAGACTTCATTATAAGAAAGCAATGACGCCACTTTTACTTAAATGCAGATAGAAGAAATTAAAACTAGTTTTTCTTTTATGTAATTCTTATTTCTTTCTTTATGTTCAAGTGGTAATTTTTAAGAATTATTTAGCTAGAAATATTTGTTTAAAAAAAAAATTTTTCTGTTGTTTTCTGAAATGACTGCTAAAAAAGTAAAATGATGAAAGTCAAATGTGTGAAAATATGTCATTTTAACTACTTAGTTTTGGCAACATTATTCGATTGCTGTTAAGGTTTTCTTCATCGACCTCTGTTTGGTGAATTACCGTTCCTCACAAAAGTTTTCAACCCAATTACTGATCGCTTAAGTTTTGGTTGGTGAACTTTGCAGGTATGTGGAGTTTCAAACTGTTGATTGAGTGCGACTGGGTTTTTTTATGATTACAAAGTTGCAATTTCATTAATTTAGTGTGGTTTGTTTCTAAAAGACATCGTTCTCTGTGTTATTGCAAGAAATTAGATGATTACTTGTAGGTATGGAAAGTTAGTCAGAATTCAGGTTTGTGGTTGAAACTTACCATATTATTTGGCACATTATACAGATTTTTTACCTGTGAGTACTGGTAACAAAAAGAAAGACATGTTGTTGTTGTAACTATAAGTATTGCTTGTTCTTTATTCGTTGTGGCACTAGATGTTCATCACTATCAAAACTTTCCATACTTTATGTCAAGCTTTCTTTGGTGTAGATAGAGTTTGTTGTTAGTTTTGAAATGCTAGAGTGTCACACTGTTTCATGTAAAGACAATAATTGACAGTTTTTTGGTGGCAGTGTGAATAGAAAGTTTTTACTTGATTGCGCTGTGGTAACTGCTGTCAGAGAGATTCGAAAACTTTAATGTCGCGTTACATGTCGAAACATCAAGAAATTTACAAGTTTTTGCAAAATAACAACTTTAGACTGTGAGTGGAAACGGTTTGAATGTTAAAATTTTCATACGGTTATTTCTGTCTCTCTTCACATTCAAATAGTTGATTGGCCGCTGTAACACCTCTAGGGATGTCTAAAGTAGTAACTTATCGTTCCTTGTTTGAACAGCCTGCTTTGTGGTTTTGATTTTTCTGTGGTACTTGCCAAAATTATAAGTTTAAAATTTTAAAATTTTAAAAATTATTTTTAAAATTTTTTTTGTCTTATCTTTTTTGTCCTATCCCAAAATTTCAAAAGTTATTTTTAAAAATGTGCCGAAATATAGCTTTGTGTGCATTATTTTTCACCTACACCACGTTTATACTACTTGTTTCAGACTGAAAGCAAGAAAAGCTCCAATTTTTGAGACTGTTTGATTTTATTCGCGTGTCCCATCTAATTGGGCTTTGAGCAGAACTTTTGTAGTTGGTGGATGCGTGCACGGCTCACTGTTGATAAAGCTTCAGAAAAAACGTTTCTTTTGTCATTTTCAAGAGCTTATATTCCCGAGGAACATTTGATGTAAAGCTAAAAAGAAGGAGTCTAAAATGCAACTCTTTGTTGACACTAGTGTCCTAAAAAACTTTAAAAGTGCCACTTGAAAAGCACGACCGAAAATTGGTTTAACGCTGATTTAAGTGGTGCCAAAGAGATTTATGGCTATACTACGTCAAACGTTGAAGTTGTTATAATAACTTTCAGCAAAACAGGCATATGAAGTAGGTCTTGCGATCATACGCGAAACGGCACTTAATTACAATAAATGACCAACGGGATTATGTTTTCTGAGAGGACGTTCTCGGAGGAGCATACTACCTAGGTTACGCCATTGGTGGAAATAGTTATAAATAGGGAATGACAATTAGCTAATCTTAGTATATTCATTTCAATCAAATCTAGTTGATTTTCGGCGGTTTTTTCATAAAACTTTCTCTTCTGTAACATGCCCATAGACAGTTAGTAGTGTGCTTATTACCTTTTCTGTATAAAAGATTCTTTGCTTATTATATTACTTCATTGTGTATAATAAGATTTTGAATCGCTTCAATTCGTATTTTTATTTGTTGTATAATCTAGTTTGCGAGTAATAAACTACTTTGTAATGAGGGTAATTGCGCACGCGTAGTATTTAGATGTCTCCTCCTTTATATAGGTTTCGGTAAGTATACCACAACTGAGCAGCAATCTTCCTAAGCACTAGAGTTGGCATCTATCCAAGAGGAGTCGGTAAAGGATAAGAGAGGAGGACCTAGGACTGCAAGAAGTCTTAAGCGAGAAGTAAAGTATCAAGGCAGCTATAGTATCAAGGTAGCTATACATTCAAATATTCAACAAAAAAACTACTTCTGTGAGGCATCGTCAAACGAAAACTATAGCTGATTTGCTAGAGGATGATTGCCGATAATGAGGAGGTCAAAGATCACGTTACAGGTAATCTCTATTAACAAACTTACAACCTTTAGTTAACTGAAAAATAGAACAGACCAAATCAAGTTAGTCTTGTAAACTGTGACCATGAGAATGGAAACGCTGGATATTTGTCACTTCTGGTGTGTTTGACTGAAAAGAAAAATCACTAGCAAGACTTGCCATTTAATGAGAAACTTTAACGAGTTTTTTTATTCCTCTATAAGAAACGTGTCAAGCTAATATTTCTAGCATACTTCCAGCAAAAACTTTCGAATTAGTAAAAATGACTTTTAACAAAGCGGCAGAGGTCAAATCGTTTCTGAAATTATACTTTACAACACAATTTTGAAAATCAGTCGTTAAAAAATTATAATCTCTCTAACAGTCCAGTAATCTGAAAGAAATTTTCCCAATTACCATTAAAAATAATTTCTCACAATCGATAGCAGATACGTAAGTTATTCAGAAAAATAAGTCAAAATGCAAACAATTTTAGTCTAGAATTTGATCCAATAAATGCCTGGTTACTATAAAATTTACAGTTTTTTAAGGCGTTTCCGATAAAAAGGTAAATTCTAACAAACGCAGAGATATTCAAGGCCTTAGAGGACTTGCCATAATCTATGTGCTTGCCTTCCATCTGTACCCTCAGCTGTTTCCTTATGGCTTCCTTGGCGTTGATATATTCTTTGTTATTTCTGGCTATCTTATCACAATGACCTTGCTAAGAGAAAAAAGCTTTACCTTAACGAGCTTTTTGGTCTTCTACAAGAGACGTGTGAAACGAATATTTCCAGCATATTATTTAATGCTTTTTTTTGTACTTACGTTTAGCTATTACCTATTGGCTGCAGGAGATTACTTTACTCTACAAGTGGACTCTCTGTGGGCTCTCGGCTTTCTCACAAATATACAAGAATACCTTCAGAATCAAAACTATTTTGCTGAAGTACTCACGTCTGACTGTTTTAACTAACTGCAATTTATCAACAAATTTCGCTTTACTACAATATGTATGACAGCAAAAAAAAGTCATTTTTTGCAAGCACGAGACTTTTGTAAACTACAACAACAGAAGTAATTCAGATGTCCAACTACGACTTTCTTCTACACACTTGGTCGCTGGCAGTTGAAATCCAGTTTTATATAATCGTCCCGGTTCTTACGATGCTCTTATCGATTCCGTTCGTAGGAAAAATTCTATGGTCTTTTTTCTTTGCTGCTTCTTTGTACTGCAACGTAGTAACTTTTGGGCCTCTTCAGTTTTCTTCTTTGCCAAGCCGAATATGGCAATTTATATGTGGCGGATTAGCTAACATCCTTCCAAAAGGTAGGTAAAGCATTGTTATCTAATGTTATCAACTAAGGTTTACTTGAAAATTAAATAAACGTCAAGAAACCTAGCACGCTGAATATCCGTAATTCAAGTTTTTCTCAATTTTGTAAATTTCTTTTAAGGGTTTAGAAATACTCCACTGCTTGTTGCTGGATTGTTCTCTTTATCACCGATTGTTTTTGTTTTACCATTACACACAACCTTCCTTCGCCTCACTTGCACTCTTGGAGCTGCCGCGGTGATTTACCTTGGGAATGAGTTCACTGATAAGTACATTTTGGGCAATTCATATCTTTATTTCATTGGAGAAATTTCATATTCTGTCTATCTTTATCACTGGCCGATTATTATGTTTATGATGTACAATACAAGAGACAATGCGATGCAAATTGGAGGTATTGTAATAAAGAATAATACATTTCTCTTGATATACGTAGTGGTGAAACTTCTGAGAAGTATTTTTTTAATAAATGACTGCTTCAGCACGCATTAATATCGTCTGTAAATCTGCAATATACAACTGATTTTCTGAAGAGCTATAAAATGCATAATTCAGCGTCAAAATACCTTTTAGTGTTTAGATGCAATCA